ATGTGAGCTTTTGGGGACCATTAGTTTTATGTTAACTTAACACAAGCTAGAGTCATCAGAGTGGAAGGAACCTCACTTGAGAAAGACCCATAAGATCTGGCTATAGGCAAGCCTGTAGGGCTTTTTCTAAATTAGAAATTGATAGAGGAGAGCCCAGCCCATGATGAATAGTGCCATGCCTGGGCTGGAGGTCCTGGGTTCTATAAGAAAGTAGGCTGAGCAAGGTAATAATCATTCTTAGATGACCTCCATGAAAGGTTTGTTTGACCCCCAAATGAGTCACAATCCACAGGTTGGGAAACACTGCTTTGGAGCCTGGTTCAGTACCTGATTTAGTGGTTCTCAATCTGCAGGTTGTGACCCTTTTGTGGTTCATACATCAGATATTCTACACATCAGATATTTACATTATGGTTCATAACAGTAGCAAAATTAGTTATGAAGTAGCAAGAAAAATAATTTTATGTTTGTGGGCTCATACAACACAAGGAGCTATATTTAAGGGTCACAATATTAGGTAGGTTGAGAATCACTGATCTAATGAATAAGGGCTCAGTAGCTATTTGGTAAAGATTATATAGCTTCAAATAGGAACAAATTCCATGAAACAAATAGTGTACCACAAAAAAGCTATGCTTATACTCAAATATTTCTGATAAAGTATATGTGTGTGTATTTGTGTGTGTGTGCTGTATGGGTGTGGATATGTCTTTGTGTATAGGGGGATATATAAGCCAGTGGCTAATGACTTGTCTTCTTTTCTTGCTGCCTAATTTCCTTTTTTGGGACAGGGTCTTTCCCTGAACCTACATCAAGACTATCTGGTGGGTGAGCTCCTTGGATGCTCATGTCTATGCCTCCACAGTGCTGGGATTATAGGCATGTGCCACCATGACTGGTTTTTTACATGGTCACTGGGAGTCTGAACTCAGGCTCTCATATTCATGGCAAACACTTTACTGACAAAGCCAGAGCCATCCCCCCAGCCTCAGCACCCCCCTCAACAGTCTTACTATGTAGCTTCAAATAAGCAGCCCTCCTCAAGCCCCTGCCTCCTGAGTGATGGGACTACAGGTGTGTGCCACCACTCCCAAGGTATACTTTAAAAACAAAACAAAACAAAAAACCTAAAACCTACTACATTTGGGGATTTTTAAACTATTCATTGTGAGTTTTCATAAAAATATATATTGTAAAGTACAATTTAATGGTTAAGTTTAATGACTAGATATAAGTCTAGCTTCAAAAGCAAATTGCCTGTGTTTAAT